ATATTTTTCTTATATATCTGTGTATATTAGGGTGCCTCACCCAAAAAAAAAAGAATTGGAAAACTATTAAGATTAACGTGAGCGGGGCCGTTTTGAAAATACTTTCAAAAATCTGGCCGTTTTGAATCCACTGGTATAATTTTAGCAAATTTATGCAGACACTCAATCATCTGCAAAGATATTTTCGAAAACTCGATTTTTTGAAGTATTTTAAAACCCGTGCGGCCCCGTTAATCTTAATATTTTGCCGAGATATTTTGGCGGAAATCTCAAAATATAATAAATTGTCTTATTCCGATAGAAAAACCGCACCGGTTTTTTTAATATATATTGTGATACACCCTAATATGTATGTACAAAAAACTTTGAAATTTAAAGACTTTGGGGCAAGATTTTGTAAAATTTGTCTGAACCAGAACAGTTATATTAATTATTTCAATAAGGTACTCACTCATATCGATGAATGCCTAAAACGCTCAATGCAACAGCTTCTATCACTGGAGTCTCCTCAATGTAAGGGCGTTTACAGCAAAACATATATGGTAGCTGAGGTTTATCATTGGCCTAAACCAACCCGAGTTATTAACGAATAGCATATTTATTTAAAGAAATTATAATCTGTTTCTTCTGTTCAAAATTTCGTTCGGTATAAATTAAACTTTATGTAAAAGCTCTAAACCAAAGCGATTAGGTCGGCATCAAGCTTAGGTTATTTAGATTCCCTTCATGCTGCTGCTTTATATACACAGTTTTCATGTGTAAGACAAATAATATGACAAGGATACAAAACAAGAAAAAAACATATGAATAGAATATGTGCGCCGAGAGTTAACCCACCCCTTACATGCATATATGCTTTTAAAATTCGTATGTACTACATATTATTTGTGTTCATACATGTCTATATATGGACATACATACATATATCTTATTAAACATCTCCACTGGCATACACATAAATGAATTGTCTATTTTCAATATTCTTTTGTTGTCTTGCTGTCTGACTTTAATCTATTATTTAAGTATCTGTTACTTCCAACTGGAAATTTCGCTTTCATATTTGCTCTGTGGCTGTAAGCCTCAATTTCTCTATTGTTTTTTGATGCCGAAGCTGCCATTTCAGTTATAAGAAATTCTTAGAAATACAATTTTCTCTGTTTTATATTTCACATATGCTTAAAACTGGTTTTCTTCGTTTGTGACTTACTTACTACACTTACTCCGAACACAACGGCATCGTTGAGTGGCGAAAAAACAACTACTATTCACTGTAGGTATAAATAATAAAACAATTTATTCATATTTTCTCAGAAACATTTCACATTTCTCAAGCAGCAATATGATGGATCAGAATTTTAGCCTTATGCAGAGTATACAGTAAAGCAGCCATTGACAATATGCTTATTTGAAAATTAATACATACATGAAATATTGTGTATGTGTATAGGATTTTTCTGTCATTAACTCATAGGCAACGACTGGTGCAAAAGTACCCACACATGTTTGCTGATATATTTGAAATGTAAATTTAAGCAGCAAACAAAAAATAATAAAACAAAAATATTGTTAATTACTACAAGAGAGGTGGGCGTGGTTATCGACAAATTTCGCCAACATTTAGTACTAACCTAAATTATACGAAGAGCAACTTCGGCACCGAATTTCGTTTAAATATTTAAATTTTTTGATGAGTTTACAAACAGACACGGCTGAAGCAATTCATCGTGTCATTCTGAATATTTTGATATATATGTATGTATGTATGAAGAACGGGCTCGCTTATCTGCATAAACCGTCTTTATGTGCATTAACTCATGCATTATCCTCTTTCAAATGTGAATAAACAGCTGAAAAAATGAGTAAAAATTTCGCGCATTTGTTCGGGCATCGAGATATGGGTAATTTTGTGTACATAATTATTTCATAAAAGCTATGAAGGTCTCCAGTGTAAGAGTGATATGTTTGAAAATTAGGTAGTTCTACCTTTAAGTTGAGTAATACTTGTTTCGTCCCCTAATCGATGGGACCACTTTCCAAAGTCAGCCTACCATTATTCACTCAAAGTTGTGTGTCGGAACACGGTATGACTTATATAGGAACTGCATCCCGTCATAATCGCTTAGGCTTCACGCCTGCTTTGCTTGGAATTTTGTTTTTCTCTTTATTTTATTTTCTGTGACTTGAAAATATTTTTCACTATAAGAAAGTACTAAAATTCGATTACATTTGGGTTAACGAAAACGAGAACTGTGAAAAAATATTAACCAAATTATTGAATAAGCATATTTAAATTTTTTATTTTGTCTTATCTGGATTTTTTATATCCAAAACTGAAGTATTGTATTCGAGAGTTAATGGAAAAATATTTATAACTTTTCAATAGCAAAAGTAACAGCACGAGAGCATTACTAAATGATGAAATATGTTCGCAAGATAAGTTTCTAAAAAAAGGAAATAACGACAATAAAAAAAAGAATCTTAAAAATTTTTCAATTCGTTTCTGTATCAGGCATATGTTTTCTTACTCTGGATTGTGGCACTCTCCAAGTTCGTAGCTAACAAGGGGATTGAAAAGAAATGCTAATTATTTTCGAATATTAAGTAAAAATGATTTATTTAAATTTTGTTGCACAAAATTTCACCTTATATACATAGTTAATTATGATCGAAAAAAAGATTGTTTGCGAAGAGCAAAATATGGTTTTATTATTCCGTCAGCAAATGAAATAAACTGTTCTCACAAAATCATTTTTTTTTTGTTGCGAAATTCCTTGAAGTCATCTCCACTACAAACTTCTTATGTAAAACTTCAACTGTATTCGTTAGCTACATATGTTGACTTTCTTTTTTTGTACATAAGACTGTGATATTTTAACACTAAACAAATATTTAACAACCAATTTTCATGTCCCACTACTCAACAATAATTGAAATTCCATTTTGAGTACAACTTTCTTATTAACTATCATTCTACTTAAATACACCAGAGGAGCGCTAAAAACTGCAATAAATTAAAGCAACCAAATATTCCATTGTCCAGTTCGGCAATGCCAACTTTTGCAAAAAAAAGTCACCAAAAAGTAGCCATTATTAGAGCATTATTCAATTGAAGCGCACTTAGGCGAACACAGAAATTGCAGAAAAATTAACCATAACTACAATGAGTGAATAAACGGTATGCAGTCAAAAGTTAATAGATATTGGTTTGCAAAAAGGCAGCTGTTTGTTATTTATTGTCGTCGACAATCGAAATGCGCACAAACAACTATTTAGCAACACAATTTATGGAATGCAAAAGCAAAGTGTGATTGTAGAGTGGACGTTTTGTACAAAAAAAATATATATATTTTATAACTTTTTATTTTATACCCAGCGAGCGCAAGCTCTAGGTACGAATTATATGTTATTTTACTATGCTTCCAAAGCAGTTTTAGGCCTATTTTCTACATACATATTCGTTTGGTGCCTTCTTGTGTCCGAAGAAATACTGATTCATCTGCAGGGAAGGCTCCCAGTTCGATTAAGATGCTTCTGACGGACGCATATGACGCTGATTTCGTAGAGCTAGGCACCAAAGGTCTCGGCGTCTGTATGTAATTGGCTCGAATAATTGGCGGAGCTCTGTGTTGGAATGTACATAAAATAGTGTATTTGTACCTTATCTACTTTAACCTTAAGGAAAGGTCTGAAAGTAGTAAAATTGTACTTATTTTCACAACTTTCACAAGTTTCGCAACTTCATGCGTTTTCATATATTTTCGCAATCTAAGATTGGAAATAAGGAAAAATATGGCACAAATTTTAGGGTCAAATTCAAGCTGAACAAATCTGCTCTAAGGACTCTTATCAAAGTGATCATAGCTCCTGTTGACGCTTTGATCTAATGGTAACACATATCCTATGCCCAATTTATAGAAACCATAAAGCATTTTAAGCTTGAGAAAATTAAAAGTGTACTCAACATGTATTTTTGGGATTTTCGTAGCCACTTCTAAAGCTCTGTTTTTTACTACGTCTTTTTTAAGTAGTTTGCCTTATTAAGATACCTATGCCTATAAGTGCATTGGGTACATGCACCAAGTGTGATTCCGCTCCGAGGTATCCATCTATCTTTTGTTTGATTTTTACTTTAATTTCTTATATTGCCTTTGTTGTTGCATTTCTGCTCGCTGTTGCAATAATTTATGAGTGTCATAAATCTATGCAAAAGGAAACAATTTTAAGCAATTTAAAGAGAATACAAACGTTGACTACAAGGCAAACAATGGTCGAAAGTAAGACGAAGAGGCTGGCAGAAATATATATCGTATATACTAACTATGTATATGCACATCTGTATGCACATTAAAAAGAATCATAGAAAACAGAACAAAGTGTTGCAGATAACAGCAAAGCAAAATCAGCAATTGTTGTGTCCTTTTCATGCCATAGAGGCCTCCACACAACGCCGTACGGTCACACTCGCACAGCGGGTAGTTAGTCTACATAAAATAAATAAAAGTTATGGTGCAAATAAATGAAATTGCAAGCTTTATTCGGGCTCTTTGGTGTTGTGATTGAGGTCCGCAACGCGTTGAAGTGAGCGGAATGAATGGCAATGGTGTGGGTCGGCCGGCTCGTCGAATGCTCTGTGGGCGCTCGTAAGTCAAGTGGCATGTGCTGAAAGTTGGTGTTGCCTGTATATATGTATGTATGTATGTATATGGCGAAATATATAAAGTATGTTTGTACATATGTATGCAACTGATTTAAATGGAAGCGCAAAATAGTTTTAGCGGTCAATGTTTAGAACTGCGTGCACTGCTTTTGCTTGTTGCCGCTGTTGATTGCTCTTCTACTTTCTTTATTTGCTCAACAAACTTTTGCGTAAGTAAGTGAAATTATAGCCACAATAAGTAAAATAATTTGAAGACTCATAAACATGATTTTTTTTATAACAAATGCAAATACCTCAACATTTGAATTAATACCTTTTTATTTATCTTTTCTTCCATTTGCAGATAAACTTTGAAAGCTTGAACGTGTTTTGCATTCAAACGTGCTATTAGCTCAATACAAGCGTGCAAACAGTTACTAGGTCTAAGAAAGCAATCAATCAACTATTCAACCAACCCACCAAATTTCCCACTTACAACAACAACCACAACAACAACACCAACAACAACATCAACTCAACTAGGACTCATTTCACGCCACTTTCTGCTCAAATCAACGCATCACCACACCCCATCATCTGCCAAACAAGTCCTTCAAGCGCAAGTGGTGTTCAATCTCAAAATGTGGCCGTCTCACTGTCAACGGCGGCTTATGCTGCTTGCCATCATGTTCGCCTGCCTTGCCTGCCTCATTGCGCCGGTAGCGTCACGTTCGCGTGACAAAGAGGGCCGTCGACGTAGCGATCGCCTCTCAGCTGCCTCTTCCACCTCCGCGTCCACCTACTACAACAGCAATTATGCGGGCGTATCCTCCGCTGCCACCAGCTCATATACGGGCCCCATGGATGCGACCGGCTTTTGTGTGCGTCGCCGTGACATGAAATTGATGTGCTATTGCACACCTGATGAGAATCATGTGCCCGTACAAAAGGCAGAGTGTTGGGTGTTCTCCGATATTTTGCTGCAGAATGATACCACTTGGTCGCGTTTCTTTCAGCAGAAGCGCTTGCGTGAATTGAAATTTGTTATACAAAATCATGGCCGACTTGATTATATACCCACAATGGTATTTGAGTCGTTAAAGAATTTGTCCAGCATAATTATCGAGTATTCGCAAGTGGATGTGGTGAAGAGTAATGCATTTGCTAATCTACCCTACCTGGAGCGTATCATATTGACGAATAATCATATTGTGGCATTGGCTCAAGATGCCTTCGCCAATCATATACGCTTGCGTGAATTGAATTTGGAACACAATCAAATCTATGAAATCGATCGTCATGCTTTCCACAATTTGCCACAATGTGAACGTCTTTTCTTGAACAACAACAATATCTCTAGCTTGCATGACAGCCTCTTTGTGGAGATGCCACATTTGATATACTTGAATTTGGCTTACAATCAAATTTCCGTGTTGACCAGTGATATCTTTAAGGGACTGGGTAACCTGAATGTGCTGAAATTGTCGCATAATAATATCAACTTCATTGGCGATACTGTATTTGCGGAGTTGTGGATTTTGTCGGAGTTGGAATTGGACGACAATCGAATTGAGGTGAGTTGTGAAAGTGGTTAGTTAAAAAAATGTTGAGTCATGCACGTGGAGCGAAACATATGAAGTGCAGAAGCGTCATATGAATAACTTTATGTCTCAGATTTTGATGAAATTTGGCAAAATTATTGTACATACTCCAGGGCCGGATTGTGAGCTCGATTTTGGGGGGTAAATAAGAATCAAAAAATTTTGTACGCCCAAGTATGATAGACAAATTATTTATTATATTATATATTGTTTATAAATGAATTATATTTTTAAAAACCAAATGTTTGGAATCATATGTTTTTGAGCAGAATACACCGTAGTAATTTTAAAATTTCAAGATTACATTTCTCGACGGAAAAGTAAGATATTCGAGCTAATTTGACGGTGTGCTTTTTTAAAACCTTCATGCCAACTGTCAAGGCCCTTATAAGGGGAGGTAGGATTCTATATTGTAGGTTGCACTTGCTGACTACTCTGTTCGTCTATATACTCGCTACATCAGTGTGGTGTAACCCTGCATCACAGCATTTGACCTATAACCGTCACCAATTGAAAGTCGTTCCATCAGAGCTATCATAACTAATGAGAGCCTGATCACGTGCGTTCGATATCTAAAAAAAATGATTAGGATAAATTCCTTGGGGGATAGTGATCATTCAGTATGCGTTACAAATTCATTGAGCACGGTTTCCGTGACCCTACCCTTGAAAAAAGCTTGCTGCTGTGTCGCAAACTTTTTATCTTCATCCTCCTCAATACTTATACAGCTCTATACGACGATATTGTTACAGGTCTGAAGTCCTTAGGCTTCTTATGGGTTTTGTTTCATACTTTTCAATATTTCCAATTCCAATAATTGCTGTATGTTGTTTCTAAGTTAGTACGTTTTTTTTATTTTCGGGCCACATCTTATAATAATGATATTTGAAAATGTTAACGAAACGGATGTTGGAAAAAATGTGTACTTAAATTAACAAATTTTGTTATTAAAATATGATGTAGTGAAAAGCTGCCTTATTTGCTACATACTATTTTAAGTTTCAAAATTAAATTTTAATTTTAAGTTCTTCGCTATATTTTTATTTCCACAGCATAAAAAATTATTTAAGTTCGCTATTTGCACGCAAGCATAGTAAAATTTAATTGTAGTTATAATAGCCAAAAATTTAGTTCTTTAAAGAAATTAAAATCACAGCTCCGCATTTATGGGGCTTAAGTACAGAAACTATAATTTTTGAGAAATCATAAAAAAGCTATAACCACTCCTCGACTGCAGAAAGACACAAACACAAATATATGTACATAAGTATTTATATGTTAATAGCAACGCGCTAACTCGACCATATAAACTCCCCTAAATCCATTTTACTGCTTAAGCATTTCGACTTGTACGCGTACATATATACATATGTATGTAGAAAAGTATGTAGATTGGCATGAAATTACACCTCCCTTTAGAGCCATTTACGAGCTTGGCGCGCACACAAAGCAAATTTGCCGGTCATTAAATTATTTAATTGCTGCCAAAAAGTGTAAATTTTCTGCTTTTTCGAGTAAACCTACTTCAAGTTTCAGCAAACAATGCTATTAGGTGACTTAATCACTCACTCGCTTTCCGCCCACCACGCCTTGGCATTTTTAGCATTTCTATGCAGCCCACTTGGCCGCTAAGGCATTTCTAATGTGAACTAATTATTTCCTAATTAACACTGGACATGCACCGACTTGTCTATTAGCTGGACTTGTCGAACTATATAAGAGAAGTGAATATTTGCCAGCCAAGTGATGGTCGGTCACTCTTCTTTATTAACTGTCAGGTGGCATGTCTAACCCAAATAAGCTACCCTTTCTTACCTGCGTCTAACATATTTATTTGTACATCCATCTGTCCTATGGTGAGGATGAGGATAATGAGGTTTAGTGGAATTCTGTGCATAAGTAAATACCGCTGAAGACTAGGTTATTTAGTAGATGTATTTGGTAACTGAATAAGAAGGTTTCTAAAAATTGAATAGGTAAGTTTATGAATTATAGGAAATAAAATACATATGTAGGCAAGTTCACTAAAAAGCAGTAGTAAAATTTTCAAATAGAAGTAAAAAAAATAACGCTAGTAAGGGCTATAGTAGAGCGAATCCTGCTAATTTATTATATTTTCTTATGAAGACTTTTAATTTTTTTTTCAATACCATTTCAATGCATTGGAAAAAATATATTAAAAGCATAGTTTTGCAAGTAAAAATATGTTATATTAGAGGTACGCTGCCCTTATTCAGCGTTGGAACGCACGCTTAGATCACCATTCGCCTATTGTGATACCGTAATAGCTACTCCACATACTTTTTTCTGAAGATTGTGTGCCCAATGCGCCGATGAAAATACAAAAGTATTTAGATATTTATCTTGCAGTAAATAATTAAGTTTTCTTCTCATATGGCGCTGCAACCGCCTACGTAATTTTGAACGAGTTCAACAAAGCATGCCAGTTATATCTCTTCTTTGGCAACAAGAAATGCCAAGTCAAGACAATTCTACCTCCGCTTGGTCTTTACGTCGCAGAGGAGGCATCCGTCTTTCTCTTCTACCGCCAGCGGATACTACAGAAATACACTAAATACCGAGTTTGGTAGTACCTACATATGCACATACTTTAACTTTTGCATTTTACATACTTTAGTATTAGATACTTTTTTACCTACTGAAATATCGCGTACAAAAGTACCTAGGAAGATTGGCATTTAAAAATCCCTCACAGTGCTCCACCAAGCCAACACAGAGCCCAGGGACTTTATGGCTGTACACCAAGAATTTTTTTTTATCCAACTTGTCTATGTTATCGATTTTTACCACTCTCATAATTTCTAATAAAAAATGTTTTAAACTAGAACAGAACAGTATCAATTTTTGATACGCTTTATGTGGAACAGCAGCAAATGTCTGACATCTATCTTGTTTCAGTTTGGGCATGTAAAGAAAATCATAACACTATAATTCAGAAGTGCGTTCTCGTATAATAATATTCACAAGTTGTCATCTTGTCTGCTATCCCTTCAGACATATGTATGACTATAGAAAAATCAAGAGGGCATTAAATAGAAGTGAAATTCAGAGGAAACCAAAGTCAGACACCCTTGCCATGTCTGGTGTAGCAGTGCGTATACGCAACATTTTATTGTGTCTGACAACTAGCACTCTTTTGATGCGTACTATGTATGTGCGCATAATGCGTATACAAAAAGTAGGTACTTGATCTACAAACATTGCTGAGTGGTGTTGAAAAGTTGACACTTGTATACCTACATATGTATGTAAATTGTATACATACATGTGCCATGCCCTCGCTTGGAACTACATATGCATATGCGCACCAACATAAGACCAGGTTGAGTAGACTTCTAGATACATGCATATTTATGTATATAAGGGCGCGAATCAACACATTAGTGCACCATATGTAGAAACAAATATTTCAAACAAAACAGAGATTTGGTGAATTTAATAAAATCTTAATAATTGCTCACTACTGCAAAAATGCAAATTACTTTAGCACCGCTTGAGCAGTTAAATTACACTTTTCTACCTCTTCAATTACAGCGCATTTCGGAACGTGCTCTCGACGGCTTGAATACTCTCAAAACGCTGAATCTGCGAAATAATTTGCTAAAGAAACTTGACAACGGCTTGCTACGTGGCACACCAGCACTTCTGTCGATCAACGTACAAAGCAACGATTTGGAAACTTTGACATTTTATACATTCCAGCCAATTATGGATAATTTGGTCAACAGTACAAGTGAACTGCTGCTGTCAGGTGAGTTTAATTTAACACAAGTTACAAGTTTCATTAACTATATACATGCATACATATACAAATATGTGCAATAGAAGAAGCCAAGCATGTGAATACGTTTAACAACTATTATTTCCAATGTATGACCCTTATGTATGTATGCTTAGCGAAGCAACCTACAGACTTACATACATATGACCATTAAAATATTGCGCAATCAGCACACCAATTCATTCAAATTTTTATGTCCGTACAAATGTACATACATATGCATATACGAGTATATTTATACATCCACAAATGAAAATATGGGCGTTCCATACCAAAATGGACGGGGTTCAAATTTAAGCTTGATTAATACATTTTTAAAAACTTTACAACACAAAAAAAAAAAAACAAATCGATTTAATAGTTTTTCAAATATCTCAAGAACGGGGCGAGGAAAAAATTTGAAAAAATCACACATACACACATCAAACTTCTCTATGAAAAGAAATATTTTTTAAATTGTTTTTCTTGAAAAATTTTTCACATACATACTTTTTTATAAAAAAAAAATAGTTTTTGAAAATATGCCATCTCAAAAAAAATAAAAAAATAAATAAAAATGGTAGCTCTGAGTATTGCGCAATACTTAAGTATAGTATTATTTGGTGCACTCTACAATAATTTGAGTTATGAATTTTTTTACACCGAAGTTGAGTAAAACGAGTATAATACAAAATTTAAAAATTTTTAAAATGTTTTTTTCGAATTTTTTTTCAGTATGCAGTTTTGTAGCCCATTATGTTTTACTGTAATAAGGTGTAATTTTTAAGCGATTGTAAAACTGGCACAAATTTTTTTTTTAATTTTCTTTGAAAACGGCTTTGCGCATTTTCTTCCATAAGAAAAAAGCGCAAAAAGCCGTCAGCATAAAACATAGTAAAAATCAACGCAATTTCGCAGTAGCTTAAAACTTGCACTTCATCATACTAAAATTTAATGGGCTACAAAACTGCATACACAAAAAAATTCTAAAACAAAATAAACAAAAATATTTAAATTGGTAATTTACTCATTTTACTCAACTTCGGTGTAAAAAAAACTTCATAAATCAAATTATTGTAGAGAGCACCCACTGTAATTTTGTTCAACTTTTTATTGAGATGGCATATTTTCAAAAACTAATTTTTTTTTTCAAAAAATTTGTATGTGAAAAATTTTTTAAGAAAAAAAATTTTTAAAATATTTATTTTCATAGAGAACTTTATTGTGTGTATGTGTGATTTTGTTTCATCTTTTCTTCGCCCTGTTAAATCGATTTGTTTTTGTTTTTGTGATGTAAAGTTTTTAAAAATGTATTATTCAAGCTCAAATTTCATACTTATTTATTATTTATGTTTCTCCATCAACCCTAAAAATTTGAAACAAATCAAACACATGAAGTGTGAACCCCGTCCATTTTGGTATGGAACGCTCCCTTATATATATCCACAAATGAATATATATACATATGTATATGTATGTGTATATAAAAAACTCTTTCAAATATCTAAGCTGACGTGTCACTTGTACATTTGTTAATATGTATGCTAATATCCTCTGTCCTATGTCTAGTAATTATAGTCGCTTGAAGTTGTCGACAGCTAGGCTACCACTGCTTTCGCGCTCTGTACGTGCACGTCATGGCAGACACTAAAATGTCAGCTACTCGTAATTTTCCTGCCACCCATCCAACGATCACACGTGTTTTGCATACAAAATGAACTTTAATGTGAATGTCGTTAGACGAGGAGAAGGATAGTTAGCTAGACTTCAAGGGGTGCCTGAAAAATTCCACAGCTTTTAAAGTAAAATTAAGAAATTGCTGCGACTGTATTTTAAACAAGTAGAGGAAATTATTGCAAATCATACTAAAAACTTGTATCTCGGATGCCAAGTTATTCTCAACCAACTTATTTAACCAACTCACACACATTCGCATCATCACAATCCAGTTAACTAACTGGTCAGTTATGGCATCAAATATAACCAGTTAATATACTAGGTAAATATTTAGCATGTTTATTGACTAGTTGGATTTTAAGTGCAGAGCTATTGCAAATGCTTCCATATATCTACACACATACATATGCACATGCATACTTCATCCATACCACTCTGATGACAGCTCAGTGTACGTGATGTTAAGAATTGCAGTCATTAAGGAAATGTTGAATCGTCATTGGTAGAGTGAACATTTCCGTTGACATTTAGCACTTGCAACGATTTTCATAGCGCTATGCGGTGACCAATATATGTATTTATGTATGTACATATGCATAACGTGGCTAGCTAGATGTGTAGGTGAATAAGTACGGACATACACATATGCGTGCTATTTACTAACGTATGTATGTATATGTAAATTTAATTTAGTACAACAAACAACAGAACCTCTTACAAAAAAGTATCTAACACATATGTACACACAAACACTAAACTTTTTAATGTTCTTCACTGCCGTTTGTAGTCAATTTTCTAAGCAATTATACTTCAACACTTTCAGGTGTTTAAGGTTTCAAAAAGTTTATGAAGGTTATATAGTATAAAACTCTGACTGTTATTTGATTATAGATTTTAAGTGTTTTTGATTGCGTAGTCGAATAGAAAATTGACTTAAATTTTAATAGAAATAATCACACAAATCGTTACGTTTTGTTCGTGTGAACTCTTACAAAAGCATGTAAATAAGTATTAGGGTCATAACCAATTATCTGTATGTAAGCACAAATGTATGTTTGTAGGTATGTTTGTGAAAATTAGTCATGCAATGATTGCAGCTGACGCTTCTCATGCAAACTTTACAATCAGCTGAAAATAGCAGAAGCCCAAAGGAACCAAACCACTCTTCGACACAACAATGCTGTTCAGGCTAATTTCTAATTTTACTAAATGTTTTGTAATTTTCCAAATTCATGTCTGCCGCCTGCCTGCACATGTGCCGTAGGCCCTAAGCAATTTCCATAAAATTAAATGCGAATTCATATTAATTTCAGCACATGCAAAGCATTTTGCTATGAAAATATGTACATATTTACCCATACATACATATATATGTACAGTGACTCAGATAAGTGTTTACGTGCTAAACTTTTTTTTTTGTTTTTCTATAAAAATATTGGTCACTAAAAACTATAAAAATAAAAGTTTAAACTTCATTTTTTATTCATTAAGGAAAATTCAAAAAATTTTCATTAACTTTCGCAATATTTTATATGAAACTTTTTGAACATTTGTATGCATTTTATTGCGCATACAATTTTAGTCTAAGTTTCAAGCGTTTAAAAAATCGCGTTAAATTTTAATATATTTTTTGTGGCCGCTTTAGCGAATTTTTATATAAAAATTTTTGAAATTTTGTTGCGAGCGGTCTTGCGCATTTTATTTGAAAAGAAAATCAGTTTATATGAAAAAAATACAAAAATCCGTCAGCAAAAAAAAATATATATCCATTTACAAATTCCATGCGATTTTTTAAGAGTAAAATTCTATGCGCTATAAAACTGCGTAACTAAAAATGTTCTTAAGATTCTGATTGAAAAGTTCAAAATTTTTAAGAAAATTTTTTGAATTTGTCTAAATTTGGTATACAGTTTGAAACTATGATTTATATGGTTTTTAAAAACAACTTGGATTATATTTATATAGAAAAAGAAAACAAAAAAAGTAACTTGAAAAACATTGTGAATATTTAAAAAAAACAACTCAACACGTGAACACTTGTTTGAGTCACTGTACATACATAATACACTGAGTAGCAAAATTGTCTGCCTAATTGTCGGCGTATTTCAATTTTTCGCCCATCCCAAATGACCTGCCGAGCGAAAAATGTCCTAAATAAATATATGCATACGTATATGTATGTATGTATGTATACATATACATGTAGGCGCCATCGTCGCCGCTCTTCGTCTCCTCTTAACCTTTAACACTCTGCTTAATTAGCACCTTAGTGTTGAAAAATAGTTCAATGGTTTTTGCTTTTGCTTTGTTTCGGTGTACTTTGGTTTTGCCAACCAACGACCAATCGACCAGCCGCAACATGGACCCATTTGCCTTGCCGAGAATGAGGTCTACCACCATACCGGCGACGATGTGAAAGCTTTGCAAAACTGAATTGAAGCTAATGGCAGCCATTTACGTAACTTATTTACACTTGGAAAAAGTGAACAGCTACATATATACATACATACATACATACGTGTGTTTTCATATGCATGTGATAAATCGCACACATTAATAAATTTATATGCATTTTGCAAAAGCACCCATAGCGAGTTGATTATACATATAAATGTATGCAAATGTGTGTGTGGCTGATTGACTATGTGTTGAGAGTGTATAAAATTAACGTACTGCATATGCATACATACATACATACATACATGTACTATTTGCATATATGCATACAACAGCTATGGCTATATGTTAACTGTTGTTTGTGTATGTAGTATACCTCCAGTGTGCTGTAATTGCATTTGCTAATGGGTAAGCGGCGGCAAATTGCCTCCAAATGACTGAAAATTACTTGAAAACATTCGTTTAACTTTATTTTTATGGCTCGTAAAACCCGTGCGATGTGCGATTTGACATGCTTGCGCATAAGTTTTTAATTCACTTACACATTGATTATGCTTATTCATGCGAATAGCTAGCTCCATCTCTCGCACAGTCTAAATATATGATACGGAGGGGGTATGCACGCACATACATGCAAACACATGTCCGCAAAATGTTGAAACTTTTTGAATACAAAATATCGAAAAGGCATGTAATCCGAAATGCTAATAATCATTAGATCAAATGAATTCTACAGTAAATTCGCAGAATGTATTAAATGTATTTGGATTCGCGAAAATTAACATCAAGAAAACTCGCAAGGACACTTGGCTAAATGTTGTATAAATAGTTAGGGCATGTTCGTCTGTTTACGGTGAAGTGAATTCTGAGTTTAGGGATCCGCAGTGCCAAATAATATTTAGTGTTCGGCGAAAACT